GCCGGTATAGATCAAACACTGTGTGAGTATAAACCTGATTCCTCTGTATATGAGTATTCATTATTACCTCCATCTTTTCTCCCTATCTACTTTGATCAGCAACAAACTTCACCTAAGAGAAGAAATATCCATCTTTCACTCAGGTATCATATGTTTCCCCTGGTATCACAGCCAACATTAAACGTAGAATTGAGCTTGTAGTAATTTGTGTTTAGAATATATTCCGAAAGCTGAGTTTATAAAATATTTCAGTCTGTTAATCAAAATACTTTTTGGATAACAAACAAAACATTAGGTTGCCCTGAGTTTAAATTCGTCATGTTTAGACATACTGTTCAAGAGTTTAACGTGTCACAGACAATTTCACTTCGTCATTTGTGTTTTAGTACCCCAAAACTAAAACATAATCCAAACATTTGTGAAATATGGTTCAAATGTGTACATATGCACACATGTTGGGAGAATACATTACTTTCATCACATCTGGCAAACTCAATACCTGCAGAAAATCTCAGTGTCAAACATGAATTATTCCTTCCATACTGATAGAACCAGCAGTCTTGGCGATTCTTCAGTTGTCTGTCAGGCCATTATTTACAGTTAACTTCACACATTGTCTCAACACCTTGGTCAAATTCTACTATTTTCTATCATAGGTTGCCCTCTAGTTGTGTTCGCCATATTTAATTCATACAGATGCGCAACGTCATATACACATAATCACAAATGCATATTTTCATATACATAAGCATCCAACTTACACACACATACCCACGTGTACTAGTAGATTCTGACAAGCTGCCTCAAGCACGTGTGCTGTTAGGATATCAGCCAAGTGGGCCACTTCTATAAGTTTCTTCAGAACGTTACGGTCTGGTAACATGCTTCCTTCTGTGAGCAGTGAGACCCAACAGACCTTTTCAGTTCATGAAAATGCTTTATGGCAGAATTTATCAGAACTATCGCTCAACCAAAATTATTGCACCAATATTAAACGTTTTTATTCTGGCATTATCTTGCACATCAACATGCTTGTGAGGAACACAAACCCTGGCATAATATGGGAGCATTACGCAAACAGCAAAGCTTTTGCTTTCTGAAGGACCTCGCAATGTGTTCAGGAAAATCACTTGGGTGCTTGAAAGAAAAGGGGGCATAATGCCTCTTTCAGTTGTCAGTGTCCCAACCAAACAACTATCCTAACTATTACACAAACAGCAAGTGCACAATGTAATACCATACACCATATTACATATCATCACTTGTGTACTTGGCAGGGAAAGGTTGTTAAGCTAATGACTATTCTAGTTGCAACAGAAGAAACCATGAAGTGTTACTTCTGGTGCAAGCTAGGATGATTATTTGGTTCAAAAACCAACAACTGGAAGGGGAGTTGGACTCCCCTTGCTTTTCAAGCACCTGTGTGATATTCTGGGTGGAGATTATTACCCAATGGAGTAGTAATTGTTTGTTCACAACCACTGCAGTGGCTGTGGACAAACCACTGTTACTTCATTGGCAGTGAGGGCGTTATAATGTGATGGTCAATCCCACTGTTCGTTGGTAAAAGAGTAGCCTAAGAGTTGGCAGTGGGTGATAAAGACTATCTGCCTTCCCTCTAGTCTTTCCCTGCTAAATTAGGGACGCCTAGCGCAAATAGCCTTCATGTAGCTTTGAGCGAAGTTCAAAACAAACCACTGGCAGCGTACAAGTTCAATTTTGTTAAAGGTGAAAATAAACTCTTTTAATAGCTTACGTGAACTGGACTTTGAGCTATTTTTATCAGATAATTGAAAAATCTTAAAAAACCAGCCAGTGAAAGAACAACGTCACAACAATATTATAACTGTGAAGTACGAACTTACAAACATTGTATTGTGTGATATCAGATCTATACTTCATTACATTAAATATATGATAAATTCATTTTGCTACATAATTTTGCTACCTAATAATCGTTACATTATTGAATAAAAAATAACTTTATTAATCAATTTGTTTAATTTATCCGAAGCTATCTGTGATAGCCGTCCCAAGTAATAGATTAGAAGAAAGGCAGCTAGTCAACATCACCTACCACCAACTCTTGGGCTATTTATTACCAATAGAATTAATGAAATTAACCGTCATAGTATAACGTCCGCGCGACTGATTGCAAGTCTAACGCCCTTACCGTGGTGGGCAGAGCATAGATAGTCCATTGTGTAGCTGTGTGCTAAACTACAAACAAACCAACAAAGTTTTCCTCCCCAAAACGGTAATTTAAGTGAAGAAATGATGGCATACAACCCCATTCTACTGTATGATTTGTTACTTGAGCTGCAGCAGACTAGTTTCACCGAATTCACAGTTAATCAGTGTTGCTTGGAAAAGTAAAGCAAATAAACAAAGTAGACCTCATATAGTGGTGTAATGTAAGCAGTGTGTTTGGTTTTGACGTGTAGTCCTCTATTCACCACTAATAATCTAAGATGCTCTATTTCTTTGAATGACAGACATGTGATAGACGGCACAATTATTTAACCTTTATTATTCAACAGACTAACTGGTTATCTATTTATTTGTGAATATAACTGGGGGTCTAAAAGTGGGTTTCAGAGTCGCTTCAATCAAATATCGCATCGGATTTGTGTTACTACCTCCCCCCCCCCTTCCCCACCTTCATATTTGAAATAGTGTTCATATAACACTCCAAAGCTTTGCACAAATCAAATGCTCAGGTATCATGGGCGAGTGTCCTAACTGTTTTTTTTTTTTCTGGTAAGAACCCCCTTCCCCTTGGAGTAGATATAGAAGTAATTGGGAATAATGGAGGAGCTTTAATCGGTACATTGAGGCCTCTGTGAATTATAAAGGGGCCTTTGAACCCCGAAGCTAGTTAGAAGATTGGTCAAATGTTATTAAATTAAATTTTGAATTAACTAGAACTTTTTCTGCTTCGTCTAGTTATAGTTAGTAGGCAAAACTTCAAACTGTAGGATAAATTACTTTCATGTTGTGTCAAATAATAGTTAACTTGTATTATTAAGACGCATATATCAGAGAGAAGCCTTAGCAACGTACAAATATCATATTAATGTTTGATGTACTTTTTCCTCGTCATTGTTATAAGCAGATGTAGCAAAGTTAAAGCCAAAATTAGTATAGTACAGCTGAGCTACATGGTTCTTGGAACTTTTATTTGGTTTGCATATCATTGAGGAAACATTTATGTAAGTTTTCTTTAAACATTTCCATAAATCAAAGTAATCATTTGATTTCGTTCTTGCTAGAAGGACATTCATTTCGCTGAAGTAATTACTAGCTTATCTTTATTATTTTCGCTCAAAACTATTCAAGAGCTATTTACGTATAGCCGTCTTCAATTTTGAACTGATAGATCAAAGGAAAGGCAGCTAGTCAATAGTACCCACCGCCAACTCTGAGACTACCCTTGTCAGGCCAAATATTGATAGTTTCTGTCTCATAGCGTACCCATGGCCTTAAATTGTGGAGCACGTTTTTAAAGCAACTGGAAACAAACTTTGAACCATGGAATTCACAGACCAGACATGCCGGCTATGTATGCCTCGCCCGACCCTCGTTGGAATGAATTTTATTTGTTCCTGAAGTAAAATCATCTGACAAACAGTGCAAGAAAAAATTAAATCTAAAAACAAAATTATAAAAAACTTGAAGAGTCAAGTTGAAATAACGTGTACAGAGTAACTGAAATACCACCAATTTTCGCGCTCTAACTCACTTCTGCAACAGAAGAATATCACCACTCTATTATAAACACACTAAAATCATCTTTTCCACACACACTATTATCTATACAGTTTTGGCTGCAACTTCTTTTCTTTGTAAACCGCTTTCCAGTAAAACACTATCTTTGGTCAGTTTTAACACTGATTCTAACCCCATGCATACTATGAATGTCAGAACTTTTTTCTGGCGATATTTTGAAACTATTTGTTGTTAAAATTCTACGAATGTCACTATATTTCCCTCTGACTGTTTTTCCTGTATACATTTTATTCTGATTTCCAGTTCCAATAAAACACACTCATGTTTTTTGGACCTCGCCGTTAGAAAATCTCAGTTTTGGAGAGTGTTTTCGTTTTGTTTTTTCATTGTGTACAAATAATAATTTGTGCTCGTTTGGCTTCTTGACTAGAGACCTTGCAATAGAACATGACCAGGCCTGGTCCATCATGACTCTCCAATACAACATAAACAGACATGATTCATCAGGACCCGGAGTAGTTCAATAAAAATATTATAAAACTTGTTATTTGAGTTTACTTTTTTTCAAATTGGTAACTAAAGTGACTTTATTCTTGGTAATAGCTAAATTTTAAGGTTGTCAGGAGATTACGAAAACCTAGTTTACCATGTTCTAAAATTTCGCATTCTGGGTTAACTCCTTATACAATATATATATATATATATATAAGAAGCTCCTTAAGTAAACAACCGGGGCTCAGAAACAGTGTTCAATCTCATTGCTGAAACTTGTTGAAATCAGTTCACAGTACGCGTATGTTACATGTGTGCTGATTTGTCCTGGAGACCCACTTTCATACATGTTACTCTAGTAATAGTTTAAACCTACTCTCAATGTTTTTGGTGTCGATGTTACACTGTGTAACGTCTCACCGAGAGGAAAAAAAAGTAAAATGTAAAGTGTTTATACATTGAAATTTATATTTAGCAATTCACGATTACAGTAGAAGGCGTTACATTCACAATAACACCAATTTTGGTGTTAGTAGTTTCACTGGAATGTTTCTGCTGTATTAGTGTCAGCTAATGAACTCTTTGAGTCACAGCTTTTAAAGAATTTCCTTAAAAGATCATCAAAAGTTGTGAAATGTCAGTGAAAAATAATATTCTTTTTAGTTACCAATATTTCCAATTTTTATATATTAAAAACAGTAGGTTTTGTACACAAAAAAAGGGCTAAGTAAGATAAAAAAATGAACTTCTTAACCAAGGCTGGATATTTTTAACCACAGAAATGCGTCACTGTTCTGTTTAAAGCCGAGGGAAAATACCAACAACGCACCGTCTTTAGGTTTTCTTCATGAGATAGGCCTTTAGCAGTAGGTTCAACACGAAGTTTCCAAGCAAAGGCAGGAATTTCAAGGTAGGACTAGAATTTGTTTTATGTATGATTCTACTAAACTACTTGCAACATTCTCTCTTTTCTAGTGGAAAATAACAACAACATATAAATGATCAGATTAATAGGTTAGAAGTTTTAGATGTGACAATATGAGCCTCCGTCAATATTCTTCTGGTATCGGAACTTGACCAAAACGTTGTATCCATATGGATTTTCTTAAGAGTTTGTCTCTCTTCGTGGTGCATCTGTCTTAGATATATATATATATATCCATACATACACGTAAAAATATATATTTATCTAGTTAAGTAAATCCTTTTTATTAACTATCGTGCAACTTATTATACAGTATCAGGTAGACATGCTGTTATTTTTAGATAATATAAAGCAAGCATATTGTCATTATTGTATAATATATGGTAGACAAACTGTCATTATTATATAATATTCTTCATTTTCCTGAAGAAGAATAGTGAACTATTCGAAAGTGCTTGAGTTTTGGGTCTCGTTTGAAAACCATTACAACTTTTGTGCTTGATCCTGTGTGCTAACTTCTTAATCAGAAATTATATAATATATGGTAGACATACTGTTATTATTATACTTCAGTTTAAGCACGTATCGTACTGTATCGAACTGGCTAGGAGTATGTAAGTCTGAACAAATGGCCGCAGACTTCTGAATCTTATTTAGTAAACCCAACGTAATTGAAAATATCTGGCCAGAATGTGTTTTTATGTATAACGTTTGCCTGGTCAGTACAGTGTAGAACAGTATAGTACTCGAAAATTCACACTGAACTGAGAAATGATAATGAAAATATGCTTGTTAATAAAACCTTGGAGGCCAAGCGTGACCTAGTAATTAGCTTGCAGAGCTACGTATCGGAAGGTCCAAGGCTCGAACTCGCCATATGCCATTGTTCACACTCTACACTTTTAGCTGGGCGCGTTATAAAATTGACAGTCAATCCCTTTACTTGGAACAGCTATACCTGAATCTTGGGGGTCTGAGTCACATCAGGTGACTTTCAGGCTGAGAAGATCAAATACTAAAGGTTGGATACCGCAACTTAATATCAGAGTTGTGTTTGTTTGTTTATTGAAGTTCGCCAAAATCTACCCGGGGGGTATTTGTGTTAGCTGTCCGTGATTTTGAAATGGTAGACTAGAAGGAAATCAGATATTCAACAATACCATCGCCAACTTTGGGCTACACTTTTACCAGCGAATAGTGAGATTGACTGTCACATATAACGTCCCCACGAATTATGAGACTCACAGATTGCCAAAGTTGTAAAAACTAATGTTCAGCATGTTCAAAAATCAATTGTGATTAAGAAAAAATAAGGTCTTATTGTATAACTGGGAATAAACAGGTCGACTTCGTGTAGATAAACAAAAATGTGATGAGCGCTTGGTAACAAGTAGCCAAGTTTCAGCTCCAAGGTAACAGTTACAGAGATGTTTCTTTCAGTGCCAACAATTGTCTTAACCTTAATAGTTCTGTCACGTGGAGCAAAAGTTGTTGTGTCAGAAGCTTTGTGAACTATTTTCAATGAAGAAAAGTAGAAAAATAAGAAACAAGTGTTAAAAATTATTTAAGAAACAGCTGAACTTGTTTCTTGGCGAATGTTGAGGACAATGAAGAAGTTAAGAAGAAAAATACATTATTTTTGAAAGGCAGTTTAGGACGTTTCGTCAAGGCTATGAAAAATACCAAGTGACTCCTTGTGATATTTCTATGTGCTTTTGAATGTCAGTCCAGTGAAGCAAGCTTATAAACCATTATATAAAATTAAGATGAAAAGAAAGACATAGCTGCACAATACAGAAATGGTTTTCTTCTTTTGAGAAAGGGGTTAAATTTATGCTCTCGTTAATTGGTGATTTTGAAATCATTAAGTGGCTTTTAACAAGTATAATGTAAAAAATGCGTGATTTTGTATTTTCTTCTAAAAGCAACAATGACTACGACATGGTGGCGACAGAGACCATCTTTATGTACACCTGACGAACTAAAAGAGATAATCACAGCTCCCTCTGGAGGTTATTATGCTCTACCTACAGACCCGTACAACGAGGTATATCCGAATGTTTACATTAGTGACGGGTAAATACGATTTTTTTGAAGTTATTTGTGTCTATTCGCTACATTTTGCAGTTCCTTCTTCTTTTTTTCTAATTATTATTATATTTTCAACATATGTTTAATAACTCACTATTAACAAATATCAACCTTAAAAGCCTTTCGGGCTAATTAATCCAAGAGTGATTTGGATTTCTTCTAAACTAACCAGCCTAAACAGATTAAATACTTAAAGAAATCCTATTCTTCCAGCACAACAGCCTTATGCACATGTGTACTTCGTAGACTTCGTGTTACCTACGTGTTGAACGCAGCTCAGGGAAAGGATAAGTGGTTTAATCTTGTCAACACATCTCCAGCATTCTATAAAGATTCTGGAATACAATACATGGGAGTGGAAGCTATTGATATGAACAGCTTCAACTTGGAACCCTATTTTCAGGAAGCTGCTGATTTCATTCAGAAAGGATTAGATTCTGGAGGTAATTCGTTGCGATAAAGTGTAAAGTTATCAGTCTTGTTAAGACGTTTATTAGTTTATGTACTGGATGTAAATGTTCAAAATATTTACTATGTAAAGTATATCTCAACTAGCTTGCAGATTAATCTTTAAAGTCATGAAAAACAGCAAGTGACTGACTCCCTCCGATACCACCGAATCTACTAGTTATCTGAGTATTATAAGTTACCTTGTTATTTTGCTGCTTACAATCTCTTTAGTGTATTTTACATTACAATTGCCAAGCGTTTCTTTTATATCTCATATAGCAACTAATTTTATCTTTGTAAACTTAACTATATCAAGTCCCTGTTGACTTTAAGTCTTAGAGTAAACATCTCCAAAGTTCCAAATTTTTCTGTATAATAAAGAACTCAAACATATTGTTAACCTCATGGAGTTGTGTATGTTTTAACTACTTTATTTCAAGTGTTTTATATAACCATATAAGCTCCAGAATAACCAGAATGTTTCTATTATTACTAAGTACAAATCATTCTTTAGATTTTTTTGTCAACTAGACATAATGTTAATAAATAAATAAAAACATTTATTTCTTAGTGAATCCTAAGTAATTATAACTTTTTCTGAAGTTTTAATTAAAAAATAACGTATTAATCTCGAATCATGTTAGAAGACCAATAAGGTTGTTTATGTGTCATAGGAAAAGTCCTCGTACATTGCCGACAAGGAATTAGTCGTTCCGCAACGTTAGTGTTGGCCTTTTTGATGATAAAGCGACATCTAACGGCCCAAGAAGCTATGAGAACCGTACGGTCCAACCGAGAAATCATACCTAACGACGGATTCCTGAAACAGCTTTGTCTCCTAAATGATAAACTTATCAAAGAAAGACGAATTAATGGCTTTATAAGTTATTGAGGTTTTTAATTATCTATAATATTTACGTTATAAATGTTTATTCGTTTTATTATTTTGTTTTTAATATTTATTTACGTTATAGGAAGCAATATAAATAGTTTAACATTGTTATTTTTATTTGTTACAATTCGATTCCGGGGAAACTTTTTAATCAGATAGATTATTTTTGAAAATCGCCTTTTACTGAAAAAATGCCATTATTCAGTATTTCCAAGTATCTTAGTTTAATAAAAGGGTAGATATAAAATAATCATCTCAGTTCGTTGATCTTGCAACTCCCATAGGACTATCATGATCTCGCGCTACAAAATTGTGGGATAACTATCCTAAGTACACTATACTTACGACAACACTTTGCCCACAGTGGCAAAGCGGTAAGTCTGAGGACTCACGCCGCTAAAACCTGAGTTTGGATATTCGTAGTGGACACAGCACAGATATCCCATTGTGTAGCTTTGCGCTTAACAACAAAAAATAAGAGAAAGAAGAACTGTGAAAGGGGTCGTAATCTTTCTTGGCTAACGCCTATTGTCCTCGATGGAAGGAAATATCCGTTATCTCATTTTTTATCTAGTTATCCAATCACAGACTTCTCAGATTAGTGACGTAACCTTATTTGGCGAATTACACGTCGCCTTTATAGTTTACTTAACACCGCTAAATAAAGACATCATATTATTCACTCGTTATGCGTCAAGTAACTAAATACACACACCTTGAAAGAAACAAGCGCCATCTGTCAAAATTCACTAATAATGCAATGTCTGTCTAAGATATGTCAGGAATATCTGAAAGCTGGAGTGACAAAATAAATCTATAAACTATCTGTTCATGTAAGTATTATTTTATACTTTGAAAGAATTGACACAGTTGTTTAATTCATGAAACTTATTTGTGTTTAGGAAGTTCTTTTTCATCTTCCTCTTTCTATTTGTGAATATGGATATATACGTTATTAACATAAACTTTGAAAATCATTTGAAGGAATATTAAGTTTATTTTTAATCATTAATTCTGTGATTCATATACTTTTATGGGCGTAATTACACAGTATCTTTATTGATCTCAATAATTTAACTTATATTTCATGTATGTAGAGTTTGGGACAATCCATTGAACATAAAGTCTGAATACAATTGTGTCTGGTTTGTGATTATGTTTACCTTGTACATTTTATTGGGCTCTCACCTTGATTAGCTGATAAATATCTGATTTTTGCGCCATCTTTAGTTGAAACTTATAATTAAAACACAGAACGAATATGTTACAAGTTTGTTTTTTGTTCCTTTAGTTATATGTAAAATATTTATTGTTTGTTTTAAAAATAATATAGGAAATTAATGGTAATCTTTTTTCCAGTAATATATTTTATCGGATCACTTTCACACTCACAGTTGTTCTGATGTATATCTAACTGTTCTCACTTGTATACAATAAAGCGACATCTATGACCAAAGGTATATTAAAAATAATTTGAACAAAATGGCAGAGCAAATATAAAGAACGCATATTTGTAATTGTTGGTCTTTGTTTCCTATAAAATGATAAATTAAAGAGTAATATAAGAATAGCTAGAAGATATTGATTGTTCAGTTTTTACGTTCTAACTATTAAGTAAAATATGCTGATTTTGTGGATTATATATTATGAAACAAATTAGCAGTATGAAACGTATCATTCCTTTTAGCAGCTATTTGTCACACTAGCTGTTTACACAATATATATATGTATAAAGTAAATCATTTTTCTGTAAGTTAGAAGAAAGTGTCTGTAATGATAAACTTTATTCTCGATTCAGATGTTAAGGCATTTACGCTTCAATAAATACAATCTTATTATTTTAAATGCTGGCTATATATAGTACGAGAGTATCTTCCCTTTGGTTACAACTTACAGTGAATACCATCGCAAATCCGTGCTTGAAACGTTATGTTTATTTTACCTTTTATTAACAAGTCACTCACACTGGATATAATGATACATATACCAATGAAAGCTTTTAACTCTTGAATTAAGATATGCGGATTACATTACTTATGTCGTCACTGCTACAATTATAAGCATTATATAAAATATTAACAGCGTTTACGAGAGAAACATTTTTAGCGTCTATATTGGGTACCCTTATAAAAATAAATGTTTTAAAAAAGTTTGTTTTTATTTCTTTATCTGAACCACCAGTGACTTACAAGGATATACACAAAAGGAAATATTCAAGAAAGAACCATCATCAGTAAATCAAGGCTATTTGTGCTAGCTGTCCTAAATTTTGAACTGATAGGCCAAAATAAAGTCCGCTAGACAAGAGTATTCACGGTCCATTCTTTATCTACACTAATCGAATCTTGAGATTTAATTGTCACTCTTATAACGCAACATGGACGTGTGTAATCCTATTAGCGTTAAGCGACAGAGTAATAAATAACAAACGTTAAGCAACTAATTCTCAAAAATAAAATAAGCTAAATTTTTAGCTTCAGTTTTTACTTGTTATTAATTTCTCTCTGATGTCTGATGTGAGCAGCCAGTCGATTAAAATCGGTATTAGAAAAGTTCAAAGACAGTTAAAAGAAAGTGGTCTACAATAAAAGTTGTAGCCCAAAAAAGTTTAGTTAAAAGTGTGTAAGGAAAACATGGCGTTGGGTCTATAACAATGTGAAGGTGTGTGTTGCCAAGTCCTCTTATAGTAAGGAAAACATGGCGGTGGGTCTATAACAATGTGAAGATGTGTGTTGCCAAGTCCTCTTATAGTAAGGAAAACATGGCGGTGGGTCTATAACAATGTGAAGATGTGTGTTGCCAAGTCCTCTTATAGTAAGGAAAACATGGCGGTGGGTCTATAACAATGTGAAGATGTGTGTTGCCAAGTCCTCT